TACGAGCCCAGGCTCATAATAGTTCGGCCGGTAATAATTTGTAACTATATTTTTGAAGATAATATTAAACTTAAAACAAAGGTGCAAAATTTAATCAAAACTATTACAACTATATTCAAAACTATACTTTTAAGTAGCTGAAACTGAAAATTATAATTAAATTACGTAAAGAAACAAATCAGTATAACAAAAAATGTATTTCACGTGGTAGGTCATAATAGTTCGGCCGCTTATCGTAATTGCCATGAAATCGAGCTGACTAGTTAAAACAAAGCAATTATGAAATATATCAACAAGACAGCTGTCAGTATTAGTTTCAAATCATATTTAAAGCATAATGCCTCGTGGTAAGCCCTTAAGTAAAGATTTTCGTTTGTCCATCATTAATGCCCATAAGAAAGGTATTTCGGCACGTCGAATTTCAGTTTCTCATTCTGTGCCGCGTTCTACCGTTCAAGACATTATCAATTTATATAAAACTACTAATGGAGTTGATCAAAAAATTAAAACCGGCCGACCATCTACAATTACAGAAGCAAATAAAAGAGCTTTACGGAGAATTGTGAAAACAAATCGGAGATCTAACACTAAAGAGATAACTGTTTTATGGAGAGAAAGTATAGCCAAGGATATTTCGTTGTCTACAACTAAAAGGACTATTAGAAAAATAGGATACAAATTTTATAAGGTAAAATTTATTCGTTTTTTTTTTGGTGAAACTGTTGGCATCCAATTTTTTTTTAACAGGCAAAAGAAAAGCCACTACTGACAACTTTACAAAAACGCAACAGACTAAAGTGGGCTCGGGAACATCAGAACTGGACTCAAAGACAGTGGTACAATATAATTTGGAGTGATGAGTCCAAGTTTGATGTTTGTGTGGGCGACTCCCGTAAAAGGGTGTTACGAACATCCAGCGAAGCATTCCATAATGACTGTCTAGTAAAAAAAGTAAAGTTCCCAGCATCAGTCATGATATGGGGTTGTATGTCTGCAAAAGGAGTGGGCAAATTACACTTCATCGATGGAATTGTTAACGCCCAAAAATATAAGGAGATATTGGAAGCAAGTTTTTTACCATCTATCGCGCAATGTGCAGCCGATGACGGTGACTTCATGTTCCAACAGGATGGTGCACCTTGCCATACTGCGAAAACTGTGAAGACGTGGTTTCAAGAACATAACATTCCTGTTCTAAAATGGACGTCTTCTAGTCCAGATTTGTCTCCAATCGAGACACTTTGGCACAACATGAAGAAGCAACTTCGAAAAAATCCAGCGCGGACAGTACCCGAATTAAAAGCTACTTTGCAAAATGTATGGAATAATATTCCACCAGAAGAGTGTGCACGACTTGTGGATACAATGCCCAGTAGAATTAAGGCGGTTATTGCTAATAAAGGCGACGTAACGCAATATTAGGTTTTGGCCGAACTATTATGACCCACCACGTGAAATACATTTTTGGTTATACTGATTTGTTTCTTTACGTAATTTAATTATAATTTTCAGTTTCAGCTACTTAAAAGTATAGTTTAGAATATAGTTGTAATAGTTTTGATTAAATTTTGCACCTTTGTTTTAAGTTTAATATTATCTTCAAAAATATAGTTTCAAATTATTACCGGCCGAACTATTATGAGCCTGGGCTCGTATATATGCTAACGAAAACTCTCGTTGTATATTAGAAGGAGAGGCAGTTTTTAAGGCCGATCATGTGGTACTATATGGGAAAATTGAGCAAAGTTAATTTATATTTAGAAATTTATATTATGTCTGCAGACTAGTGCCCTTACTTACAACCCTCATGAAATTCAGGGAGTATTATCTATCGGCAATAATATTTTGAAAATTTCTTCAATGGTTTGATGAAAACTTAATTCTGGATTTTTCTTGGACCATGAAGAGCAACCTTGAACTGAACAATAATAGTTTGACAGTTTCTTCTTTCTATCCATAATTACTGAAATTTTCCTCACACTATTTTCTTAAAATAACAGTGTTCAAAAAACGAACACTAAATTCAATTTTAAATAAAATGCAAAACGAAATGTGACACACAGAAGAAATATTTACCTTGTTTCGCTAGTATCACTTGTCACCGCCAGAGGACGAGCTCTTAGCTGCATTCGCGAATAGGTAATACCAAAAAGAAATGGAACAGCTTGTATAATCGAAAATAATTTTAAACTATGGAGAAAGTCAACTTTTTTTGAAACAGTGTCATTGACATCTACAGAATTATGGAAAAATCCATCTTAAATAATCTATGTATGTATTTGATAGATCCTTCCATAAATATATATATATTTTTTTTTTCAGCAATCCCAGAGTAGTTTATAGGGATATTACCGACGACTTTCCAGGGGTTGCTGATTTAGATAGTGATATTTTATATATGTTAACTAATATATTGGAAAACCCTTTCAGTCCTCCTGAATTTGTTGTGTTACAAATTTTAAAATGTAAAATAAAATTGAATGCTCTGAAATTGTTGCCTAGTCAATCAACTAGTAATTATAGAAAATGTAAGTAAAACTTTTTGTATATTGTGATTTCAGTTTAGCTTTATAAGGAGTTTTACCATAAATTGGATTTTATTAATAATAATATTTCCATTCTTTTTCATCTTCAGATTCCATAGAAGAACTTCAAGCACAAGAAAGTTACATACAGTATGCTTTGGATAAATTGAACTCCATTATATTTTCCTCGGCAGCAAATAACATACTCAGTACAGCAGAACGTACAAAAAATGTAATGAAAATTTGGTTGGAAATGCCTTTGAAAGATTTTATTTCGCACAAAAGAATAGTGGAAGGTCATGATTATAAATTTTATGAGAAGCGCTATGATAGTTTTTATAATGGCTCTTGATTTATGTTTATTGGTATTTATCCATTTTACATAATTTTATAAATATATTTAAGTACAAATGTTTTCTTTTATTTTTATCCTCATTCATCATTAAGTGCATATGGTGCAAATCAAGCAATCTAACAGAGATGTGAAGTGCCTGTTCCACAAGTCTATGTCGAAGAAGGAAAACTTATTTGTAAATTTATGAGAAAATATGACATTTTCTGTTGTTAAAAATGTTAATTATTTATTAATTTTATACATAGGGTGTTTTTAATTGCCATAAGCAAAGTATCTAAATTTTTTTTTGAAATATGCAGGGTGGTCCGAATTTTATGCAGGAAACTTCGAGGGCAGATAGAGCTCTTTAAAATAATAGGTGTTTGCCTTATAAACACAGGTTTGGAACGGCCCCGTTTTAGAGATACAGGGTGTTAAAGTTGTTAAAAAAAATTATTTTTTGTCTATATCAGAAATCTATAACTGATCTCAATAAAATTTGGTACAGATAATGTATCGTAGTATTCCTTGCATTCCCTAAAATATGAGCCCCAAAGGTTGAACCAGTGGTGTTCAACTGGACAGTGGTCACCCCGTTTTTATAAAAAAAAACCTACACCACTGCATTTTTTACAAGTTATTGTAAAGGATTTAAATTCTATTGCACAAAATACATAAAAAACGTAACTTGAATTTTTTCCCTAAGATTCACCGTTCTCAAGTTATTCATACCAATACAATCCCCTTATGGCAGACAGATCTTTTCAACACGAATTTTTTGTGAATGTGTGTCGGAATAATTCGCAATAAAGTTTGTGGACCTTTCTTCTTGCCACCCCATCTAAATTCCCAGTCATTTCTAAACTTTCTAGAAAACCACCTATTTGAATTATTAGAGGATGTTCCATTAAATGTATGATAAAATAGCTGAATACAATGGATGATGCTCCTGCGCATTCTGGGAGAAAAATATAAGAGAAATTATATGCGGCGATGGATAGGTAGAAGACCAAATGCCAATGTCTACCATAATGGTGCAGAGGGTCCAGTGTCTTGGCCAGCCAGATTGCCATATCTAAACCCCTTGGACTGCTATGTTTGGGGTTATCTGAAAAGTAAAGTTTACTCCAACAAATAGAAGACGGATGTAATGAATTAAAAGAAAACCACCACATGATATTAGCTTAATTATTAGTTCATTAGTTCCATTAATAGAAGATTTCAGATATGTAGATATGTGGGTGGTTCACATTTTGTACAATTGAGGAGCAGCTATGCAAAAGCCGATAAATCCATAATATATGGTTTAGAGATAACTAGGAAAAAGTTGTAACTAGAACATTATTCACTGTAATCTTAAACTTTATGCACAGGTTTTATAAGTTTAATCATGGTTTTAAAATATATATTGCTTACTGTTCAGTTTTATTAAATGTAAGTTTTATTCCACTTTTTAAATTAGATTTATCGCCTTTTGTTCAATCATAAAGTGGATATATAGACTTCTGCTCAATTGAAATGGATTTATGGGTTTTTGCTAAATCGGATTTAGGATATATCGACTTCTGCTTAATCTCTACTTATTTTATGGAAAAGTATAACACAATATACCATACATTTTTATTTGAATGATACACATACAGTTCAAAGTACAAACATTTTAATACAAAAGGAAATAAAAAAATTGTAAAAATCTAATCTAGATGTAACCAAGCCGTAGATTGAATTATTAAGAAGCGATTTCCGGGCCTAACTAAAAAAAGTTTAAAAACAGATTTATCGGTTTTTGCATAGCTGCTCCTCAATTGTTGAAATGCGTAACGTTAATTTTGTTTTTTCTTTAATTGCCGTTGCTTGGTAAATATTTTTTTTATTATTATTTTGATTTAAATTGTTCTTATTTGTAAAGATAGTAGATTAGGCATCCAGGGGAAACTAAAACGCATCAGGAACACTACCTCACAGGAGGTGTGAAAAGGAGCGTAAAGAATTTTGTTGATGTGCTTACAAATTACTTTTAAGCATAAACATAAATATTCTTGTCATATTATGGTTAGAAGTGTCTGCCACCAGGGGATTGTATTGGTATGAATAATTTGAGAACGGCAAATCTTAGGGAAACAATTGAAGTTACCTTTTTTGTATTTTGTGCATTAGAATATAAATCCGTTTGTATGTATATTTTTTTTTATAAAAAAGGGGTGACCCCTGTCCAGTTGTATACCACTGGTTGAACCTTTAGGGCTCATATTTTAGGGAATGCAAGGAATACTATGATACATTATCTGTACCAAATTTTATTGAAATCGATTGATAGATTCCGAAGGTATAAATAAAAAATAATTTTTTTTTAACAACTTCAACACCCTGTATCTCTAAAACGGGGCTGTTCCAGACCTATGTTTATAAGGCAAATAACTATTATTTTAAATCTACCCTCGAAGTTTCCTGCATAAAATTCGGACCACCCTGTATATGACACCATGGGTTATGGTCAGTATTTTCGACAGTCTTAAATATGAGGTTTCAGTTGTTTCGTAAATAATTATTATTTCACATGACGTGGTTTATAGACATCTACTTGTTTGATTTTCATATTATGTTGAAATTTGCTAAATAAATACCTAATTAAAATCCATTGATTTCAGATAGGAAGTTCTAGACTCATAAAGAATTACTGCATTTGGCTTATTGAGTTATGGATTTATTATAGCACTATTTTGATTTCTGAAATGTTTTTTTTTATATTCCTTAGATGTTTAATTTACAATAATAATAATATCTCTCCCATCATTCTAGCCGCAAGTGTTAGACCAGAAGTCAGAGACTTGTGCGGAAGAGGGGACGGCGTATTATTATTCAGTGACTATTCGCTTACTTTTATGTTTCTTAGTTCTGAAATATCGTTTTCATAAATGGTTCCTCCTATATTCTGTAATTTTCTTTCTTGACCTCAATATTGGCAGAGGTTTTTTATAATTTGAGATAATGAAAACCAATAGTTCATTGCAGAAACAGTTCAAATCCTGAATTTGAGTTGTTTCAGCACCAAACCAAAAATTTGTAACAGCATGTTACCAATAGTAGATGAACAGCGTGTCGCGCTTGAATGTGATACAAGCCTGTTACTTAAGTCAGACCATTAAAATAAAAATCGTTTTGCTAGATTAGACCATAAATCGTATTATATGTACTGTTTTATAGCCATGAAGTGGATGGCTAATTAAAAAACTAGAACAGACTACAGACGTGTAAAATAAACAGATTTCGATCGAATCAAGACAGAAAAGGTTCGTGGAGTAACATTGTTAATTTTTAAAATGGTTTTTGAAATTAGTTAAACGAAATTGTGTATATGGTGGCCAGCTTCCTTGTCCTCTATGCCTCATATCCTTTTGTCCTTGCCAATCGTAGTCGGAGTGTTGTATGGATGCCCTCATCCTTTCTGGTAAGTTTGCATAATTTCTTTTTTTTTGTCGTTATTTCAATAATTACAGTCCATCATTAGTTGGTATTGTAGGATGTGTTCGATACTGGAGGATCTCCGACCAGTCGAACGTGGGGATATTAGTTGTTTAGTAGCAATTTTATTTAAATTAAACTCGAAGGACCTTTTGAACGATGTTTATTATAGGGAGTCAAAATTTACACTGAGCGGGCACGTGCTACCCAGAACCTCGATACAAAGAATGCGCCGTTGCCGGCTTGTACAAAAAATATTTAAAACTAACTAAATTTGCAGAGCTGCAACATGCCGCCCCCTTTGAAAGGTTTAACCTTAAAGGTTTCAAAATTAATACTCAAATTAAGTCTTAGTTACTACCACTTGGCAAAACACATAATTTAGATACAGGCCTTTTATACACTGCACTAGTTGTTTTCACTGTCACAACCCTCGTGATTCCATCACTTCCGGGATGCAGTTGAACGACACGACCTAGGTTCCACTTGAGAGGGGGTAGGTGGTCTTCCTTTATGATGACTAGTGCCCCAGGCTTCAGTAATTGTGAGGAGTGTTGCTTCCATTTTCTCCGAACTTGGAGCTCCGAAACATATTCTTTGGACCATCGGATCCAAAAGTCTCTCGCCATTTTATTGCAACGGTTGAATCGTGACAAAGATGATTCTTTCATGTTCGATAAATCAGGTGTAGGTAAAGCCATTAATGATTCCCCAATTAAGAAATGTGCCGGGGTTAATGGATTGAGGTCGTTAGGGTCACAGGAAAGAGGATATAGTGGGCGTGAATTGAGACATGCCTCAATCTGAGTGATTACTGTTATAAATTCTTCATATGTAAGTATAGATTCACCAATGACACGCTTTAAATGGTATTTCGTTGACTTGACCCCAGATTCCCATATGCCTCCAAAATTGGGTGCTCTTGGCGGGATAAAATGCCAGTTTATGCCCTGCTGTCCCATTTCAGTTAGGATTTTACCTTCGGATGATTTTAAAAATTTCTGAATTTCAGCATTGGCACCAATGAAGGTTTTAGCATTGTCTGAATAAATATTTGCGCACTTACCACGCCTTGACATTAGTCTATGTAATGCTGCGAAAAATGTTTCCGTATTTAAATCGCTAGTGACTTCTAAGTGAATAGCCTTCGTTGAAAGGCAGACGAACAGACAGATATACGCTTTGGTTATATTAAACTTTTTTGTTTTTCTATCTCGAAGTTTGAACGGACCGCAGTAATCTATGCCACAATTTAAGAAAGGTCTACTTGGTGTTATTCGAACATTTGGTAAATCTCCCATTAAATAGGTTAATTCTTTGGGCTTTACCCGAAAGCATGTGACGCAATTATGAATAATTTTTTTTACTAGATTGCGCCCAGACATAATCCAATATTGTTCTCTTAAAGCGGCTAGAACATGCTGTGGACCCGCGTGTAATAAACGAATATGTTCGTACTGTACTATTAAATTCGACAATAAATGTTTGCCTGAAAGAATTATAGGAAACTTCTTATTGAAATTAAAGTTTGATTTGTTCAATCTTCCACCTACTCTTAGAAGACCTGTGTTATCGAGAAAGGGGTTTAATTGTAACAAATTAC